GGATCAACCATTGTACATGTACATGGAAGGATACAGTTATCTATCAACCATTGTACATGTACATGGACTGATACAGTTGTCTACCAACCATTGTACATGTACATGGACTGATACAGTTATCTACCAACCATTGTACATGCACGTGGACTGATACAGTTATCTATCAACCATTGTACATGTACATGGACTGATACAGTTATCTACCAACCATTGTACATGTACGTGGACTGATACAGTTATCTATCAACCAGTTGTACATGTACATGGACTGATACAGTTATCTATCAACCATTGTACATGCACGTGGACTGATACAGTTATCTATCAACCATTGTACATGTACATGGACTGATACAGTTATCTATCAACCATTGTACATGTACATGGACTGATACAGTTATCTATCAACCATTGTACATGTACATGGACTGATACAGTTATCTATCAACCATTGTACATGTACATGGACTGATACAGTTATCTATCAACCATTGTACATGTACATGGACTGATATAGTTATCTATCAACCATTGTACATGCACGTGGACTGATACAGTTATCTACCAACCATTGTACATGTACATGGACTGATACAGTTATCTACCAACCATTGTACATGCACGTGGACTGATACAGTTGTCTACCAACCATTGTACATGTACATGGACTGATGCAGTTATCTATCAACCATTGTACATGCACGTGGAAGGATACAGTTATCTATCAACCACTGTACATGTACATGGACTGATACAATTATCTACCAACCAATGATACATACATCGTGGACCGATACAGTTATCTGACAACCAATCTGTAGGTGGGTTGTAATTGAAACAGTTAATCTATCAACCATTGTACATGTACATGGTAGCCTTTGCAGTTAGATATCAGCCATGTGTACATTGATAGAGTTGCCTGTACATAGAACTCGCCTGTCATTTGTCTAATGTACATTGTGCATGTACGGGGATTGAAACATTTGATAATCGTCTTCCATGGATTGACAGAGTTGCCTTATAACAATTAACTTCAATCGATACAGCTGAAAACAGCTATAGATGAATTAATTAACATATGCTGATGAAAGTTGACATATAAACATTGTACACTCCGAATACAAACTGATATAGTTCTGGGGGGAAATCCGGAAGTGATGCAGGTCGATTTGATGAAACCCACGAATGTTGGAATGATGTTGATGTCAAAGGATTAAAACAAGTCGAAACTTCGAAGCCACGATCAACGAACATACGCATGTACATCTAAGGGACGCAACTCGTCATAACGTATTATTCAGGCTTTTTCATTGTACAAGTGTAGTTCCTTACTGTCACAACATAAATCATTAGCATTTAAAATTTGGTAGGTAAATTATTTTCAATTTTTTAAACATGTTGTCGATTCCTTTCGACAAGTACAATTTCATTTACAAAATAAAACCTGTTTTTAGATTTTACGAGCGCTTTTAACGCACTTTATTAATTTAGATATACAAACAGGGATTTGTTCGTATAACTCAGCGCCACACGTGTCAATGGTATCTGGTGTTAGTTAGAACGGATAAGATGGCTTTGAGAGAAGGGGTCCCTGTGTTACGGTTTCAGCTGCACATCATTCATTTGCCTTACCTATACTCACAGGCAAAAAATATTGTGACATTTTCCATTAACTTATTGAGGAACATTTTCATTGGTCATCTTATCAATGTAATATTTTCAAGAAGCATGACATATATGAAAAAGATGGCCAGGAAACAGACGCTTAGCTTTTCCACTCGATCCATTCTTAACACCTCTATTCATCGTTCCGAAACACCATTCGCCATGTGACGTCTATGGTACCTCGCATCCTGACGTTGCACGTCGATTCCACGCCCATAGAAACATCAGTTGGCAGGTATGGTGACGTTTTCAGCAAAACAATCACGTTATAGACCGTCGACGTCGAGACTATTGGGCGAAGTGTGTCCAGAAGTTCTCGTCACATTGTGTCACATTTCCTACCATTCCCGCAATATCCCATGATTTGCCACCCATTAAACACGCGTGGGATGAAACTAAGCGACGTTACGGCGTCATCCGAATCCTCCAACAACGCAGCATGAACTCGGATATGGAATGGTCTTCCTAAGGACTTTCATCGACGTTACGTGCTCTCAATGATGCCCCTGACCTGCATCAATGCACAAGGTGGACACACTCACTCCTGACAGTGTGAACTTGCTGGGGAACCCCCTCATGTGTTCCCTTTGGATATGCCAGGTGTGTTGTCCTCATGGACTGTTGATCGTTTTCATAGCTTGAAATAATTGTCTTTCCATGTTGGTTGATTTGTTGTTAAACGTCGCACTCAGCAATATTCCAGCTGTATGGTAGCGGTCTGTAAATGATCGAGTCTGGACCAGACAAACCAGTGATCAACAGCATGAGCATCAATCTCCGCAAATGGGATACGATAACATGTGTGAACCAAGTCAGGGAGCCTATTACGACAAGCATGGGTTACTGAACATCAATTCTAACTCGGATCTTCACGGGTCTTTCCATGTAATAACATTTCATTTGCAGGAGTAAAATTGTAAAAGTGATTCTTTTTTGTTGTATGTATGTAACAGTAACTTTTGCCTTTGAGTATATATGATAACCACACGAGCACTATCTGGCTGAGAGACCGCAGTGACGTGAAGTGTGGATGAAGAGATAACTTAGAAGAAATATCAGCTACAAATATTTATCGGAACTTTTTGACGTGAAAGAAAAATTATTATTTCAACCGACTATAAATAGCCTTAATGCTCTATTTTCGGCAATTGCTAGTTGCCATTTAAACAGATATGCAGATATCATACGCAAATCTTGTGGACTCGATTGCTTCCTGCATTAGTGGGCGGGTCGATATTCTTGGGATTATTTCCCAGTATATCACAGCGGGATATGCGAGCAATAAGCGGGACATCAATGTATTCGTTTGGTGAATCGAGCAAGAATCGATCTTGAAGTCCAACAAAGCATCATTCGTAGAAAACCGTACATTTCTATATCAGCCGTTATGTTCTACTTCATTATTAGGGGATGAACATGGTAGTTGTTTTATGTAGAACTAAGCTACTTGTACCTGTAAATTTAACACTTAAAAACTCACGACCATGACTAAATTTAACGAGGATTCTTTGGTATCAGAAGTAATGTTACATTCAGTGAGTTTCCTGGTTTTGTTTCCTCTCTTATTAGTTGATATCCATAGTCAATTACACAACGATTATACTCATTAAACAAAGTATAGTATCCTTACATGCTGCACCAATGATGTATTTCAAAACCCTAAAACCTTACACAAAAATATACATTAAAAATGTGTAGCAGAGAAGTTTTGAGACATGAAGTCGGTATCCCTAAAGGAAATTTGGCAAGCATCTAAAGCTTTAATAATACCTCTGACGTCACTATTATGACGTCACACGCTTTATCCCGCAGTTTACATGACGTCACAGTCGGCCATAGGAAAAATATAAATTAACTATGTACTGTGGATAGATTCTGTACGTATTGGAAGCGTAAGGGTAACTACCTCAGTCATATCAGATTATGCGCTATTGGATTCTGGAACACTCTGTATGTTTGTCGCTGGAGTTTGCCGAGGGTCAGTCACCTGGTGGATTTAGTCCAGTGGATCCCCAGTGGTGTGCCTAGCTGCTCATACCATCAACCCGGTTAAACCATTTACAATAGAATATATTCTTGAATGAGCGAATATGTTTTAGGCAGAATTGCATTTAGCAATATTCACAGCAAGGGACACCAAAAATGGGCTCCATGCGTTGTACAAATATGAGGAATCAAACTCGGGTCTTCGATGTGACGAGCGAACGCTTTATCCACCAGGCTACCCATATTCTTAAGATGGGACTTTGCTGATAGTCAAATACAACAGCATTCAATTCGTCCATTTCAGCCAACTTGAATTGGATCTGATTGAGCAAAACCGATGATGCCAAACATTCATTTAAAACGTGACCATTGTTCTTAAACGACTGTTGCACGTCTTTGTTTGTTTGCATATGTTTGTGGTTCCAGTTTATTGCCACACTCGGGGATATTACAGTTATAAACGGAAAAACAGGTGGTACGTAAATAATCTAACCTGGATCAGACAATCAAGTGACTGAAATCATGAGCATTTATCTGCTCAAGACTGCCGGAGTATGCGAATTGTGATAGATGTAGCTCTACACTTTGCAGTGAAGGTCATCATTCAGAAGTGGTCCACCATCAATCCATACAACTTTACCACTCAAGCTTCCAATAACCACGATTCATTGAAGACCTGATTGACGTGGACTGACGACTGTTCATAACATCAAAGCAATACCCCAGATTAAGATTCAAAGTCCAGACTGAGAATGCGTTGAACGGAACCAAAACACTCCCAAAAGCCCCGGTATTAGCAGAATAAACGTATGATACATTGGCGATATCCTTTGAACATTCCAGTCATTTCTCAAACTGCCCTACAACGTCCCCAAAGACTGTGCCGTTTTTTATGCATCTAATCCCTTTCATAAAGACGGGATCGTAATCAATATCCTCCTCTATGGTGTCCGGCTTCATTGCATCTATGCATTTATTTGAACAGAATACAGCCATATATTAAAGTAAAATATACGCTCCATCAGAATACCATCCCCCGTTTTGTGAGAAGATTTTATGTTTAAATCCTTACATTACTATCATTTGGCCTACATAAAGCAAAGACCCATGGTAGTCCACTGAATAAACATGATGGCGTGCGCTTCTCAAGTAATGCATAGAAGCCCTCGGTCAATCTCTCCCCAGCGCCGTATTGCACGTCCTTTAGTTTACCATCATCCATCCTCCATTACTTCCATACAATCCATGCCTGTGGTCGCTGCTTCCCACTGGCGCCGTGAGAGAGCACTGCTTGCCGCTTGAGCTCTCTCCCCCTACCTTCTTGAACAGCTATCTTCGCTTGCAGAAGACCTTCAAATTTGTAACCATGTCAACGGCGGAGAGGAGTACTGCGCATGCGTCAGACTTCAGCGGCAGACGATAAGGATGCTGCGTGAATTAGACAGAGCTACTGTGGAGGCAGTTTACATTTGTTCCAGTTGAATCTGTAGCACAGAGTCAGTGAATGGATAACGAAAACCTCTGGAATCTGTGAAAATGTGACGAGCTAAATGCTTGGAATATTTACAAGAGGTGAGTGTTTCTCTGCTAATTAATGGCTCGTATCCATCAAACTTTGACTCAAAGTGTCGGCGATTCAATCAATAATTGAATCTGTTACCGTTTACATATTGAGGGAGCTTCTTCTCATCTGCTGTGATCTTTACCGCCCTCGGCAAGTTTCTCTTCACATCTCAAGTGTCCATGGCGATAAAATTACTGCACAAATCACGTTTGTAAAAATAGGCTGACAGGAGGAACGTTATCTTTAGACCGAAATGTTCAGTTCTTTTCAAATCAATGTCCAAGGTTATTTCCTTCATTTTCAACATATTCACTGTTATCCTGCAACAACTTGCCGCATTGCCACACATATCATGGTAAAACAATAAAACTATGAGATGAAGCACCAGCAAAAATATATGATACTATATTCTGTAGCTACATCGTTGGTATGGAAATATACAGTGGAATATTATCCATAATCATTGGAGACATGAGGCACAATTCTGTTGAACTGTTTATGCGTCTATGTGTTGATATCTATCTGCAAGAATGATCTACAATTACTGAATTATTAAAAACAAAGAAACACAAAATCCCACAAAAACAACAATTACTGAAGTCGTAGATAATAGTTGAGATCAGGAGGGCACGTTTATCTTCATCGGGATGGCCTCTATTCGTCTTCAGGATGCAGAACACAGTGTTTGTTATGCTCTGCCGTTTTCAGTATCGAGTTATTGTGGAAACCTGCGAGCAGATGATGATATATAGACGTGTGAATGGATACATAAGATACATTTAAAGGAAGATCTTACATTCGAAAACTATCAGCATGGGCATCGAAATGTAACAGAATGGGCAGATCCATCGTTGACACGGGTAGTTGTGAACTGACACATCGATATATATTCTTCATCTCTCTCTGTCTCTCTCTCTCTCTCTCTCTCTCTCTCTCTCTCTCTCTCTCTCTCTCTCTCTCTCTCTCCCCCTTTCCCTTTTGTGTCTACATACACGTCACTATATGTCTCACCAGCTCTCTCCCTATCATTTTCCTCGTTGCCTGCCCCTTTCACTCTGTCAATCTAAATTTCCCCATTCCTGCCCCTCTCCCCTCATATAAATGAGTGAACTTGATCCCCCTCTCTCTCCCTTTCTATCTCACTATCTCTTTCAGTCTCTCCCTCTCTTATCCAACACACGCACACGCACGCACACACACACATACACACACTTATATACGTGGAGAGGTCGATGCTGATGATGTTGATCACTGGATTGTCTGGTCCAGACTCGATTATTTACAGACCGCCGCCATATAGCTGTAACATTGCTGAGTGCGGCGTTAAACAACAAACCAACTAACATATGTGGAGATTTTTAGAAAGGAAATATTCTACATTTGTATTCATATTACATTTTACATTAACATCTGTGTGAGTGTTGAATAAATAGCGGTGTATGTGACAGAACCGGTGTCAGAGTTACCATATGATATTGTGTACATAAATGTTGCGACTAAAATGCCCAGAACTCCCAGTCTTTACTGAGTAATCAATAGTTCTCATTAATACAGTGTACCAACCTTTACAAAACAATATCGCCTATCCTGCTACAATGCAAGCTATGTGTGCTTCTGGGAAATGGTCGATATTATGTATTAATATCTGCAGATGAAATGGTAAAAAATGCATTCCCGTATATCAAATAAGTTGCGCGTGTTACACAAAGAACGCCAGCTGACGCAGATGTGATTGTCAACTTTTTAAAGGAGCTCTTCGATTGAATGAATAGGGTTTGGTACCAGATGAAATATCCCTTTTAGAGAATAGATTAAATAGTAGCATCGGGACTAAGGGACATGCATTTGTGTATGACCATAGTTACAAATGCACAGTTAATGTGTTAAAAGTTTATGCTGCGTGGTATTAAAGTACTTGCAATCCAATCGGTTATGAGTATACTGACTCGCTGACCTCCTTTAAATGTTTAGGGTTGTGATACAGATGTTGTCTTTTGATGCAGCCTCGCACACCTCCTTTAAATGTAATGGTAGTGATACAACCGTTGTCTTTTGATACAGACCCGCAGACCTCCTTTAAAGGTAATGGTAGTGATGCAGCCTCGCACACCTCCTTTAAATGTAATGGTAGTGATACAACCGTTGTCTTTTGATACAGACCCGCAGACCTCCTTTAAAAGTAATGGTAGTGATGCAGATGACGTCTTTTGATACAGACTCGCAGACCTCCTTTAAATGTATGGGAAGTGATACAGATGTCGCCATTTGATATGGCTTACAGACCTCCTTTAAATGTATAGACAGCGACACAGATGTCTCCATTTGTGGTCATCACTTGTCAATCACATACATGCATGTCGGCACTGTCAGGTAACATGTGTGACACATGAAATGGGTTTTAGCAGAAGTTTTAATCTTATTGCACCCACTGCATAGTGACGTGAATGTGTACGAGCTTGTACTAGCCCGGAATAATGTCAGTTTTGTACTGCAAGCCCATATACAGGCGTTTAACACAGATTCCCTACCCAGTCACAGCATATAATGACTCCAGCTGCAGACTGCCAAGTGTAACCCAGATAGCATTCAGACGTTGGCCCAACGTTGGCAATGGGTTTGCCAACATTGCCAACGTTGGGCCAACGTCCGAATGCTATCTGGGAATGTGTGTGTTGTGGGTAGTGTATAGCGATGTGGAACATGAAGGTGCCACTTTGGTGTGAGATTAACACTGACGTGTCCAGGTATATTCACCTCTGTTGAGATTTAAACAACAGGTGCATAATAGCTGCAAATGTAGTAAAAACATCCCGTGTTAAATATTGATGTAAATAACTTACAACAAAAACAACCAATTTAGAATAATCAATATTTCACATCTGCACGCTGTGACATGGTAAACAAAAGTGGACCTTTGTTAGAAGCAATCAATTCATCAGCGTTCTGAGTCGGCGATGTCGTCATATTCTGTGATAGAAATAATGAATATAATTATACCCCAATAATACAGGTTATTATCATAGGACTGGGACGGCCATAGTAAACAACGGACAATGTCCTATATAATCTGTGTCTATCTAGGAGGGCGGGCTCCATATGCCCATGCAACAGAAAGACGCTGTCTGTCGAATCCCTCGTATGGATTCTCTGATCATATTTACCTCAGATCGATATTCTCTGATCGTTAACGAGACGCTTGGTTACGTCCAATAGTGGTGAATAATTATTTTATAGACGGCTTTGTCTTTCAGGTCTACTTATTGTTGCTAACAGCTGATGAGAATTAACTTGGACGACAATCTTCGTTAAGGGGGCTTCGGTTTGTTAAATAGGCTATACTCTCGGGAGTCGAATTATCTCGAAATTTGGGGGTTGATTCTTGTACGTCATATCGAACTGCATATCTCGAAGGACTATGTTTTTCACAAACCTGAAGATGGGGCAATATGAATGTTGTTCAATGTTTGAAACCCATGTACTGTTATGCTATCTGCCATCCCTCTATCGCACATAACATGAAATGCATCCAGTAACCTAAGGTCCGTGAAGATCCGGGTCAGAATTGATCTTCAGCAACGCATGTTTGTCGTGAGAGGCGACTAACATCTCGTCAGGCTCGCTGACTTCGCTGACTTGGTTGACACATGGCATCGTATCTCATACACAAACCAATAACTTCTTTGAGTGGCATTTAGAAGCTGGTATGATGAAGATGAACAATATTTTGTGAATAGACAGCTTCTTTATTGCATCTATTTCAATAAAGTACCTGTCTGTCCATAAGAAATTGTTCCTCTTAAACAGACCCGTGAAGATCTGGTTAGAATTGATTTTCAGTAACCCATGCTTGTCGAAAGAGGCGACTAACTGGATTTGGTGGTCAGGCTCGCTGACTTGGTTGGCACATGACACCATATCCCAATTGCGTAGATCGATGCTCATGCTGTTGATCACTGGATTGTCTGGTCCAGACTCGATTATTTACAGGCTGCAGCCATATAGCTGGAATATTGCTGAGAGTGGCGTTACACAACAAACAAGCATGGACATGTAGTGAACCAGATGGCCAATTAGCAATCCAGATGGAAACAAAGGAGACGTTTTCAACATTGCAAGCTGAGAGATGTGTTACCTGATGTAATTAGTGAGTATGGAGTTACACCGCTTCCATCAATACCCCAGCAATACCACGGCTGAGGACACAACAAAATGGCTTCACACATATGGGGAATCACACCCAGATCTTCAGTGTGACACCAACTAACCACGACGCCCCTAGAAGGGTGTGAGTTTAAAATATTGAGAAAAACCCGCGGCTCAAGACCGTTCAATACAGTTCATAATCAGCTGGTCTGTTAATGTATATTATAATTTCCAATACGAGTACATATTCCATAGTTAGTGACAGTAGGTGTTGCTCATGCACATGTTCCTGCTAATGACATCGCCTGAACATCTGGGTTTGGAACTGGCTCAAATGGCGTACATTCGTGAATGTTTGATAAACTGTAACAAATTATGCATGTACATTCATGTTCGATCAATCGTCTGATGAGAAATAAGTCGCCTCTATCATTTCCTGGTTGATGCCCATCCTTGTTGACAACAACAGCTAGGCGGAATGTATTTCACTTCCTGGTAATTGTTCCTTAACAATCTATTCATATGAATCGTTATGCAAATTCTGAACGAGGATTAATGAAATAAAACATCGAGGTCCACGTTCAAACATTATTTCAGGTTTTGTTCGTAAATCGAGAGTTGTCTGAAAAATACGTTTCAATTAATACAGTTTGAAGAACAACATTTCTGTTATTTTTATGCTTTTGATGCAAATAATAGACGATATACGAGAAAACCATGTATTCAATATAGAGGTATCGTTTAGAAAGGCCAACATATGAGTGTTTGTCACAGATATCTATGCTCATGGTATCAACCACTGGATTGTTTGGTTCAGCCTTATTTGTTTACGTAACGCTGTCATACGGCTGGAATATTGCTGAAA